AAACTCTGTCTCAAAAAAAAAAAAAAAAAAAAAAAAGAAATATGCTTTATAGTATAGTTTTTCTGGCATAGCTTTTGGCTTTTCATTTTTTCTTGAAGTATTTCTGTATATGTATTTATTTAATATATATCTATATTTATATGGAATATATATTATGCATCCATTAAGTATATTATATATGTAGTGCATTCCATATTTATACATTTCATGCTGGTTCATTTCTAGTTACTATTCATCTTAGAGTTAAGACTTTTGGGAAAAAACGTGAGGTAAAAGAAGATGGACCATCTAGCAAAATAAAAGAAAATATAGTCCTTCGATGTAAGAGCATTGAGAAAAAATTAAAAAGCCATAAGAAAAAGAATGATATAACAGCAAAAAGAGATAAATAGTGAACTGGTAGAGCTAAAAAAGAAACGAGAGAGAAAAATAAAAGCCCAACAGAAATCAAGACAACATTAGATGCTGCAAAGAATAGAATAGATGGCACAGAAACAGTCAATGGTGAAGAGAATAGGCTTGAAAAGCTATTTCATAATGGGCTGGCTATTTCTTTTGAAGATAAAATATAACAGAAGGGCTGCAAGAGTCAGCTGTGTTAATTAATTGTCTTTGTAGGCCTTACAAATTAAAGAAAAAAAAACCTTTTGTGGTTTAGATTCTGCTGTTATCTAGCAGAATATCTTTTTGGTCACATTGAAAGTTCCCATGTCACAGGATTGCTTATGAATTGATGTAGTGTGCTCCTTTTATCTTACCAAGAACAGGTCACCGTTCTCCATCTCATTTCTATCCTCTCACCCCAACAGGTGGGTTTTTCTTTCAATACATCATATTTTTCCCCCTTACTTATCTCAGTTTCCTTTGCCACAGTGTGTTGTCAAACAGCTATAAGTACTCTCAAGTGCTTTGCCTGCCGTGTACCCAGACCTTGCCTTTGCAAGTAAGGAGTTGTTGATTTCACGCCTCATCTGGTGATCTCCCTGTATTACTGCATCTGCATTAGCCCACTCTCAGCTTCCTCTCTCAATGAGCTCTAACACTCACTGCCTTTGGTCGACTTTTTGAAGTGTGGTTCATTATTGTGGCTGCATGCACATTTATTAGAGCATTCACACTACTCTAAAGAACTACTGGCAGGTGGGTCATGAGGTCAGGAGTTTGAGACTAGCCTGGAAAATATGATGATACCCCATCTCTACTAATAATACAAAAAAAAAAAATCAGTGTGTGATGGCGCACACCTGTAGTCCCAGCTACTCAGGAGCTGGAGGCAGAAGAATCACTTGAACCTGGGAGGCAGAGGTTGCAATGAGCCAATATCGCACCACTGCACTCCAGCCTGGGTGACAGAGTGAAACTCCGTCTCAAAATAAATAAATAAATACATACATACATAAAGAACTACCCCAGACTGGGTAATTTACAAAGAAAGGAAGTTTAATTATCTCACAGTTCCAGGTGGCTGGGGAGGCCTCAGGAAACTTATAATCATGATGGAAGTTGAAGGTGGGGGGCAAGTCCTTCCAAACATGACCACAGATCAGACATGGCAACCTACTGAATTTAAGCATATCAGTCTGCTGAGAAAAAGAAACTAACCAGGATTCCATCAGTAACAGCAAGTGAACAGGAAAAACCCAGTGCTGAATCCCTGCCCCACAGTGGAGTACAGGAAATGTGGCATATAAAAGACCCACTCCCGAGTGATGCTCATGGGGGGCCCAAGTCCTTCTGATTAAGGCCCAGTCTATGGGTGGTGTGAGGCCAGTAGTGATCCCCAGTGTGCCAGGCCCAGGTCTTCCCAGAGTTGAGTTGCTTGGGAATGCAGACCAAAGTGGGTAGTAAACTCCATCTATGGCTAAATAACTGGCACAAGACCAGTAGTCAACAAGTACCATAAGAGAAAGTTGAAAAGAATTTTGAAGAGAGAGTTCACTAGTAATAGTGAATTGTGCAGTGGTGGTTGAAAACCAAGGAACAATTGTAAGGCCACTTAAATGCCAGTTTTTGAATATAGCCAGGATTTTACCTGTTGCTGTGTCTTACCCACAAGACTGGGCTCCCCTGACATTGATACTTGTCCTAACCCCAACTAAGTTTGCTTTATTCTTTTTGCATTGTGCTTTGGTTGACCCCATTGTGGGCCCAAACTTTAACACACTGCTAGGCCCTGTAGAACTTCGTTCCCACTTTCAGCCATATTGTGGGAGCCCTGGCTTGGTTTCAGTACTCACTGGATTTTCAATGAAGAAAATATTTGCCAATTTTGCAATTGTACCTAGGCTAATTTTGCTGTAATTCCGTAAACAAGGAATAATGATGTTAGAGCAGTGGGTGCTCAAAAATTTGTTGAACACAGAACAAAGGAGGCTAGGCAAGCTGCCTAGGTTTGCGCAGTGAATGACAGGCAGAACTAAGTTTTAAACCCAGGTCTTTCTAACTCCAGGGCTCAAGCACTTAGTCACTGTGCTGTAAAGTTCCATTGGAAATCAGCCACGTACAACAGGGCTGGGTTTATGTTGCTCTTGTGTGCAAGTCTAATAGGAACCCAACAATAGGCAATCTCTATGGGCTTCTCTGACTCCTGAAAATAGTATAGAGAATTAAATAAATTACTTTATCCAAGGGACTAATTACGTGATTAAAGAAGTTTGTAGAGCTATTTAATTAATTCTTGCCTTCAAGTTAAAAATAGACTGCATTTAACTTAAATTTTCAATGGCTGTCCATGTTACATAATTTCTATAGGTAGCTAAGCATTAGAAATAACTTTGCTCAGTTAAAAAGGCGTAGGAGAAAGGGCAGGGGAGAACAGTGGTGAAAAAACAGTAAAATAAGGAACAGTGGAAGGCTCTACCATAAACAGTAAGGAAAGCATTTAAATTATACTACACAGCCTAAAGACACAAAACATTTCATTTCCCTTTGCATAAAACTGGTCTGACCTTCACAGTTCTGAAATAACAGGAAATATTTCTCTGGTAACTGTACTGCATTTTAGCCTGGTAGTTAAGCAGACTGCTCAGCATGAATAAATATAGTTTGAAATTGTTAGGGCAGATTTCTATGAAGAGTGCATGTTAAGCAGTAATATAAATGTAAGAGCTTACAGCAAAATGAAATTCATGCTATAAAGGTCAAACCTGCCTAAGAGAGACTTTTAGGTAAACTATTGGGTTGAAAAGCTGATTCCCGTTTTGTTTTAATAGTTGGTAACGTATGGTGGCTGAGGTGATGTGTTTCAGTTGAGTAGATCATGGAGCATTATCCTGCACTCAGTTGAGCATAAATGTGTCTGATTTCTGCAGGACTATGAAAAATGGCTGAATTCTCTCTTCCTGAATCTGAAATTAATGACTAAAAATGTTATCAACGAGGTAGGTGGTCAAAAAAATAGTGTAGGTACTTTATCTAGAAATGGTATATTTTTCCTTAAACACTGAGAATTTTGTGGGATAGTTTAGGAGGAGATATTTATGTAACTTTCTGTTTAGCTACAGTGTTAGCTAAAAACAACTTGAGATAAGAATTAGAGATGCTTATTTCATTTTTTTAATCTCCTCCTTGCTTCATTGAATTTGAAGTATATCATCAAGGCTTGTTTCTAACTGAGAAGATTGGCTGGGGTCACAGAACTTGTAGGAAGACCAGAAGATTCCTAATATCTGATCTGGATGGGGGTGTCAGCTACCAAAGGGGCTACAACCTTTGGGCATACTTACGTAATTCCTACATTTGTGTTAATTTTGTATTTAATTCATATATTTATGAAACATATTGAACCTCAGCTCTATACTATCCTTATTTCTAGAGATGAGATAAATGAAGCATAGTTTCTGGCTTCAAGGCTGTGTAGAGAGGGTGGGTTGGGTGAACAAGTGGATACATGTTATAACTCAGAGTGCTAAGGGAATGCTGAGGTTGTGAGGGAGCCCAGTCCTACCACCCAACCCAATCATAAGGAGGAGAGGGATTAGGGAAAAGCTTCTTGGAGGAGATGTGTTTTGAGGAAGAAAGATTCTTAATCTCTGGGCCTATGTCTTTTTCTGCAAACATTGGGAAATTGCCACCTATCCTTCAGGGTTGTAGTGAGAATTATACCAGGTAGCATGTGTAAGAAAGCCTGGAACACGTAGGCTCTCCATGTTTTCATTATGATCACTGTGGATGGCTTTATCTTCTCTCTTTCTAGCCTGAAATGCATGAATTCCAAAATCTGAATGAGAAAATTAAATTAATATTAGACCAGTTTGACTCTTAGGCCAACTACATAAAAAAGAACAATCTAAATTATCCACCACTCTGATTATGGAAAGGAAGAGATATGTATTAGTTTCCTGTTGCTGCTGTTACAAGTTACCACAAAATTAATGGCTTAAAACAAAACATTTATCTCACATTTCTGGAGGTCAGAAGTCTGAAATAGTTTTACTGGGCTAAAATCAGGATACAGTAAGACTGGTTTGTTTTGGGGGCTTTAGGAGAGAATCTGTTTCTTTTTCTAGCTTCCAGCAGCTGTTCATATTCCTTGAATTATCACTGAATCACCCTAATCTCTGCTTGCACGGTCGTCATATTAACTTCTCCTTTCTCTGACATCCTAATTTTCTTTTATAAGGATACTTGTGATTACATGAACCCACCTGGTCAATCTAGGTCAATCCCATCTTAGGACCCTTTACATAATCATATCTCCAAGGTTCCTTTTGTTAAATAAATTAATGTTTATAAGTTCTGGGGATCGGAACATGAACATCTTTGGGACCATTATTTAGCCAACCACAAGATGTAAAGATCAGAGGAGAGTATCTTTGCTTGCAGTGCTACAGCATTTTGTCCCTGACAATGTTTGTCTGCCCTTAATATGTTTGGGCCATTGGAGTGGCTCACAAAGAGAGATGCCTATCAGAACTCTTGGGCTACTGACAGCTACCTCACGGATGTTTAAGCTTAGCAAGCCAATGGCAAGTCTTACTGGTTGGCCTTGAATTTAGAATCCTGTCCCATTCTCACATCAATTTCATATGTTAATTGCTATTAGATAATATTTCTTAATTTAAATCTGTGTAACAGCCATGTTATAGGCAAAGTATGAAGAGAATGACAGTAGACTAAAAACTCTGGGTAACATTTGAATTTAATGCAGTGATGTTATTTGAGCACAATACATTTGAGAGCTTGTGTTGACTATGACTGAGGCAGACATGTATTTGTTTCATAACACGAAACTGCAAGTCATGTCATATTGCTTTATTTTTCTAAGTCAAATTATATCTAAGCCTCTGTTCACATAGGTTAGCAAGACAACCAATATCAGTCATGACTGGGAAAGCCCTCTCTCACCTGAACAAATCCTTGAGAGTTTAATCAGGCCAGAAATCTGGAGTAAGGGCTCTGGTTTTCTGTGAGTATCGTTAAGCAGACCATGCTCATTGTTTCAGTCCAGTTGGAACATTTAAAAGTGGGTTGGTCAGTTGTGCAGAGCATCAATTTTCTCTATGAACAACTAGTCCAGTGGAAATTTTTCTGTAGCAGACAAGGCTGTAACTCCTAGGATTCATTTTTATTGCAGTCAGCCTAATGAGAACACTGTATTAGAGAGAGATTCTGTTCTCTTCTCTACCCCTAATTCTGAGATTTCCAGTTGTTTCCTAACCCACCTGCAACCTCACCCCTTAGAACAAAACTCCATTTCCTCTTCGAGACTTTGCATTCTCTCACTTAAATTACATGAGATAGTATGTGTGAGAAAGTCTGACTCACGTTGGCACTCCAAGTTTTCATTGTGATCATTGCTGCTTTCCTCAGGATTTAAAAAACAAAAGCTTCTTAACTATCTTCTTAACAGTTTTTAACTGGGATAGTGGCAGTCCTAAAATGTATAAATGCAAAGTTCAGCTGGCCTTTTTATTTTTGTGTGATGTTTTATATGAAATTAAGGCACAAATAATTTTTTCAAGATGGTGAGTCTGTTAAAATAGTTAATGGCTTGGCTGGGTGCAGTGGCTCATGCCTGTAATCACAGCACTTTGAGAGGCTGAGGCAGGTGGATCACCTGAGGTAAGGAGTTTGAGACCAGCCTGGCCAGCATGGCAAAACCCTCTCTCTACTATAAATACAAAAATTATCTGGGTGTGGTGGTGGGTGCCTATAATCCCAGCCACTCTGGAGGCTGAGGAAGGAAAATCTCTTGAACCTAGTGGCGGCCAGGGGGATGGGGAAGAAGAGGGGCAGGGGAAGAGGTTGCAGTGAGTTGAAATTGTGCCACTGCACGCTAGCCTGGGTGAAAGAATGAAACTCTGTCTCAAAATAAATGAATTAATTAAATAGTTAGTGGCTTAAAAGTGAATTGTTGGCCCTGTGCACATCTAGACTATAGGAAAATAATGTGTTAGTTCAGTTTTCAGCTTTTCATTCTCTCATGTAAATCTTTTTTCCTTTCTCAGCCACTTCGCCCTTTCAATACACTACTCATGTCAGCTGTCTTCAAAGACACCAGGGAAATAATGTTCCCAGAAATTTTCACATGTAATACCCAAGGTATGCATTTTAAACATTTATTTAGATATGATTGATCAACTCATGAAAGCACATAAACTCTTGTAAATATTGTATAATCATTTTACCAGAAGAAGGTAAGAGAGCAGTTTCTTGATGATTTATCCTTTTCTCATTGGCTTAAGCTCTCACCCAAAACCTGTTGGTTCATTTTAGTGGAAAGGTTAAAATGAATTCACTTTCAAATGTTACAGCTTAACTAGAAATAATTTTAGGAGTTCATGATTAGGTACATGTAACTTTATTTATTAATTAAAATTTCTTGTATTAAAATCATCTAGACTCATGTACTCCTCTGGTTAGGCACTTAACACTTACGATACACATTGGTAATTTCTGCTGAGACTCTTTCTTACTGGTATGTTCAGCCTTGTGGTATCTATGGTCTCTATTTAACTTGACACTTCTGGTAAAAATTTTCCCTGCCACATCCTGGTGGCTTCTTGTTTTGGCTCTCAGTTATTTTCTAGATTGTTGTTTCCAGTCATCATGTCCTCCATAAGAAGAACTATGACACCCAGGTTGGTGGGGAATGAGACAGCTTTCCTGTTGTCCTATGATTTGCTAGTGTTGGGAAAAGCTCATAGTTTCCATAAGCCTTAGAGTTCTCCTAAGCTGCATGGAATATTATAGAGTATGTTTTCCTGGAGAATTATAACATAGTTTTCTTGTGGCTGTCAGACCACTTTAGTGCATTTTGAAGAAGCATTAAACCATATTGTGAAAATTATGCAAAGAATATCACACTCAGTGGGTTACCATCACCTTTGAGATAGTTCTTTTTCTTCTCCTCTCTCTAGAGTGAAGAATTGTGCCAATGAATAAAAAGGAATTTAAAAAATTATGTAAAAGTGAAAAGTATTGTTTTTGTGAAAGCAACTCTGAAATACAGCCATTCGAAAAAGAAATATTTAATAAATTCAGGATAGGTTTGTTTAAATTCTAAGTTTAAAATGACTTACAAATATAGTGAAAAAATTTAAAAAAATTGTTTATACTATTGAATAAACATTGAGTGAGGCAGTGAGGTGTGTTGAAATTGGGCTACTATTTATTACGATTATTTGTTAAATTTTGGTTTTCCATTTTAGATGGTGTACCTCCTTCAGCCAGGAATGGGCTTCATTGTCCTTGCCATGGATGAGGTAAGAGTAGAGTTTCTCATCTACAACTCAGTAGATCTCTGACTCCTCTTTGACCAGCAGTTTCTGGTTGGTCTGTTTGTTTACTGGTGTATCTTTGTTATTCTTCTTTAAGACTTTCAGAATCACCCTTTTATGTAGAAAATTTTTCATTCTTGATCTAATATGAGGTGGTTATATACACACATATGGGTTATGTTCTGCTTATTTACATTTAGAATTTTGACAACTACTTTTGACTTAAAACCTGTCATTTTATTAGTAAGCTTTTCATTTTTAATAATTTCTCCTTGCTGTATGCTGAGATGTTTATTTAAAAAATGTGTTTACATATGTAAGTCATGATTTGAGATACTTTAAGATTTAATGTCTGTTTGACTCCCCCTCTAAGAGATGCAGAGGTGAGTATGATTCCTCTTTTTCTTACTTTCACTCCTACTTCTTTCCTTATATTACCTGAAGTGGATTCTATTATCATTTCTAAATTGACCTATTACATTTATGTTTTGTTCTATAGCACTTCTAATTCTCACAGTTGGGTAGTATCTGTACAGTTTTTCTCCATTCTTCTCTAAGTTTATACTATAGTAGTTGTCTTAAAGAATACATAATGCCAATTTTGTCTATTCATTTGATTTTTTCCTACTTTAGGGCAATTTTATTTTATTATACCTTTGAATATTATTCTGTTATGTTTCTTATTTAGAAATGTCAATTATACACATGTTGGATTTCCTTTGGCTCCAAAATGATAATTTTCCTTCTAAAGGAAAATTTCCTTCTAAAAGAAAAGCTAAAGGTGTTCTTTTTGTCTTGGTATCTTTCCTATATTTTTCTGTTTTTGGAAATGGTTTTTTTCCTTTTGATGCCTCTAATGTAACCTTCATTTATGTAATAGTTTTATTTTTCCTTTCTGTTATTTTCACTCTGACACATAACTTTTTATTACCTTTATTTTCTCATCTTTTCCCTTGAGTCCTATTATGTCCTGTCTGAACTCTTGTTTCAAAGGGGTTATAATTTTTTAAATTCCTGATATTTTAAGAGTACTATTTTTTGTGTGCCTGATTTATGTATTAATCTTCTGCCTGATTAGTGTCTCAGTCTTACGTATTTTTTGTTTTCTGTTTGCCATGTTCTTTTCTTTAGATTTTAGTACTGTCTTTGTACATGCCCAGGCTGATTTTTTTTGACTGTTATTCATCTTTAATGCACAACTGAATCAGCTGTTTGATGATGGATAGCATAGAGGAAGGCTAAGTAGAGTGCAGCAGGTAGTTTGAATTTTAGGCCTTGACTTTGAATACTTTCTCACTAATACTCTACCCTATGAATACAAATCAACTATAAGTTAGTAAGAAATTTCTCTGACACATAGGGAAGCCACAATTTTATTTATTTACTCTATTATCTATCTATCATATTCTTTCATTTCTTCCTTCCTTCATTCCCTTCTTTTGATTTTCTTCCCTTTTCTTTCTCTTTTTTTCTTCTTTTCTTTCTTTTTTGGTAGCAATTTTTTTTCTTGCCAATAGTAATGTCTCTACCATCCTGTTTCACCCACAGCAGCTCTCTTGAAAAGGGGCATGTCTGTATGCTTTCTTATTCAGCCTGATAATGTTGCCACTCTGTGGTATAAAGTAAGGTTTACCGAGGGTTCCACAACATTTGTATGTAATTCAGTTGGCCATTCAAATAAAGAATGTTTCTTTTTGTCTTGGTATCTTTCACCTACTGTGATAAATGCCTCACTCAAAGCCTGGAGATTGCTATGTCTGTCATGGAGCACTCCTTTATCTTTGTATTATTTTCACTGCACTTGACAGCAGCTGTGGTTTAGCACTGTGGTTGTTGTTTCATATGTTGTGGTTTAGGGTTGTGTTTTTTTCTTAGCATATTAATGATATATTGTTATTAAAAAACTACTCCAAATTTAGACTTAAACAAAGTTTATTACTTCTTCTAATTCTGTTGATTGACTGGGCAGTTCTGCTCTTTTCACCTGGGTTCACTTTAGTGTCTGTGGTCAGCTGGTGGCTCACCTAGGATGGCTGAAAAAGATGAAATGTCTGGCCTCTCTGTCCACATGATTTTTCATCCTGGGTGTCTTCACAGCGTGGAGATCTCTGTGTACCACGGGGGTGAGAAGCTGCAGACCTCTGATGACTGAGGCTAGCAAGGCACATAGCATCAGTTCTTCTGCATTCTATTGGTCAAAGCAAGTCAGAGGACTAATCCAGTTTCAAGGGGAGGCGAAGTCACATTCAAAATAGGTGTGCATCAACGGGTAGGAGGATTATTGTGCCTTTCTTTGGGCAAATAATCTACTATCAGGTTCATCTATTGATTTGTTTTTTGACCTTATTTTTATTTGGTTTCATAGTAAAGAATAGAGCAAAGAGTATCCTGCTGCCTTTAACAGGAAGTCAAAGTATTATTAATTTTAATGGTGAAAAATAATTTCAACAACTTAATGTTATACCTTTTTTAGTGACATAGCACATTTTATTTTTCTACTTTTTAAAGATTATAAAATAGAACTTAAGAAATGTCTCCACATGTAGGTAACAGCTTCCAGTAATAGCGCAAGGATACTAAGACCTTGTATGGGAAAGTATTTATTGGTTCATATGATATAGAGTGAGAAATTTTGGAATGGAGGCAAGGAAGCCTGGCTTCTACTTTTGATTGTAATTCTCTAAGTCTAGCTTTGAGATCTTAAGAAAATCAGTTTAGTCTCTCATTAACTGCAATGAGGAAGTTCCTAAACTATAAGGTCATAGAAGTTACCTGTGGAATTTGCTAAAAAGTCAGATTCCTGGTCCCTTTTCTCCTTGACATTTTGACTCAATAGGTCAAAAATAAGGTCTAAGAATCTTATTTTTAAAATAAGCACTTTAAAAAAAGACAAGATTCAAATAAACACAATGAGAAATGACAGAGGGCATCTTACCACTGACTCGGCAGAAATTCAAATGATCACCAGAGAATATTACGAATACCTCTATGCACACAAACTAGAAAATGTAGAAGTGGATAAATTCTTCTACATTATATAGCCTCCCAAGACTGAACCAGGAAGAAACCAAATCCTTGACCACACCAATAATGAACTCTGAAATGAGGCAATAATAAATAACCTACCAACCAAAAAAAAGTGCAGGACCAGATAAATTTACAGCTGAATTCCACCAGATGTACAAAGAAGAGCTGGTATCATTGCTGCTGAAAGTACTCTAAAAAACTGGGGAGGGAAGACTCCTCCCTAATTAATTCTGTGAGACCAGCATCATCCTGATTCCAAAACCTGGTAGACACACAACAAAAAAAGAAAACTTTAGGTCAGTATCTCTGATGAACATTGATGCAAAAATCTTCAACAAAATACTGGCAAACTGAATCCAGTAGCACATCAGAAAGCTTATCCATCACAATCAAGTAGGCTTTAACCATAGGAGCAAAGTTGGTTTAACATATGCAAATCAATAAATGTGATTCATCACAATCACAGAACTCGATACAAAACCACAGTATTATCTCAATAGATGCAGAAAAGGCTTTCAATAAAATTCAACACCCCTTCATATTAAAAATTTTCAGTAAGCTAGATATTGAAGGAACATATCTAAAAATAATGAGAGCCATCTCTGATAGAACCACAGCCAACATTATACTGAGTGAATGAAAGCTGGATGCATTCTTAAAAACCAGCACAAGACAAGGATGTCCTCTCTCACCACTTTTATTCAACATAGTATTGGATGTCACAGCCAGGACAATCAGGCAAGAGAAATAAATAAAGGGCATCCAGATAGGAAGAGGAAGTCAAACTATTCCTATTTGTAGACAATATGATCCTGTATCTAGAAAACCCCATAATCTCAGCCCCAAAGCTCCTTAAGTTGATAAACAGCTTCAGCAAATTCTCATGATACAAAATCAATGTGTAAAAATTATTAACATTCCTATACGCCAAAACAGTCAAGCTGAGAGCCAAACAGAAACACAATCCCATTTACAATTGCCATGAAAAAGAAAAAAATAAAAAAACCTAAGAATACAGCTAACCAGGGAGGTGAAATAGCTCTACAAGAACTATAAAACACTGCTCAAAGAAATCAAAGATGACACAAATAAATGGAAAAACATTCTATGCTCACGGATAGGAAAAATTGATATTGTTAAAATGGCCATACTGCCCAAAGCAATTTAGAGGTTTAATGCTATTCCTATTAAACTATAATTGACATTCTTCACAGAGCTAGAAAAGACCATTTTAAAATTCATATGGAACCAAAAAAGAACCCAAATAACCAAGGTAATCCTAAGCAAAAAGAAGAAAGCTGAAGGCATCATGCTACCTGATTTCAAACTTTACTACAGGGCTGCAATAACCAAAACAGCATGGTGCTAGTGCAAAAACAGACACATAGACCAATGGAATAGAATAGGGAGCCCAGAAATAAGGCTTCACACCTACAACCATTTGACCTTTGACAAAACTGACACAAACAAGTAATGGGGAAAGGGCTCCCTATTCTATAAATGCTGTTGGGATAAGTGGCTAGCTACATGCAGAAGATAGAAATTGAACCCATTCCTTACACCATATACAAAAATTAACTCAAGATGGATTAAGGACTTAGATGTAAACCCCCAAACCATAAAAACCTTGGAAGACAACCTAGGCAATACCATTCTGTACACAAAACTGGGCACAGATTTCATGATGAAGATGCCAGAAGCAATTGCAACAAAAGTAAAAATTGACAAATGGGATGCAATTAAACTAAAGAGCTTCTGCACAGCAAAAGAAACTATCAACAGAGTAAATAGACTACCTAAGGAATGGGAGAAAAATTTTGCAAACTAGGCATCTGACAACGAACTAATATCCAACATCTATAAGGAACTTAAATTTACCGGGGTGAGGGAGGACTATAAAAAAGTGGGCAAAGGCGGTGGCTCATGCCTATAATCCCAGCACTTTGGGAGGCTGAGGTGGGCGGATCACCTGAGGTCAGGAGTTCCAGACCAGCCTGACCAACATAGAGGTGTCTCTACCAAAAATCCAAAAAATTAGCCAGGTGTGGTGGTGCATGCCTATAATCACAGCTACTTAGAAGGCTGAAGCAGGAGAGTCTCTTGAACCCAGAAGGCAGAGGTTGCAGTGACCGAGATCACACCATTGCACTGTAGCCTGGGTAACGAGTGAAACTCCGTCTCAAAAAAAAAAGTGGGCAAAGATCATGAACAGACACTTTTCAAAAGAATACATACATGCAGCCAACAAGCATATGAAAAAAGCTTAATATCACTGATTATTAGAGAATTACAAATTGGAACCACAATGAGATACCATCTCACACCAGTCAGAATGGCTATTATTAAAAAGTCAAAAAATAACAGATACTGGTGAGGTTCCAGTGAAAAAGGAATGCTTATAAACTTTTGGTAGGAATGTAAATTAGCTCAATCATTATAGAAGATAGTGTGGTGATTCCTCAAAGAGCTAAAAACAGAATTGCCATTTGACCCAGCAATTTTATTACTGGATATATACACAAAGGAATATAAATTGTTCTGTCATAAAGATACATGTATGTTTATGTTCATTGCAGCACTATTCACCATAGCAAAGACATG